GCCTCACACTGGGTCTGGATGTGACTTGACAGATTGTCTACATTGTTCAAGAGAAAGAATCATAGTATGGCAAAAAAGTAGTCAGCCACCAATTGTGCAATTTCTCCCACTTAAAGTGATAGTCTGGAACTCTAAATGAATTACAAATTTTAATAATTGTATTAAATTGACTTCCTGGCCTTTAATGTTGATATATAAAATAAGTCATTTTATGAATTCTAATATTATGGGTAAGCCCTTTTCCCTTCTCTTAGGTATAGTTCAGAATCCACGATGTCCAGTTTAACCAATCAAGTGATGCCAAGGGCTGTCAATCATCGGCGCTCGTAGCTGGGCGCATGCTCAGTTGTTTGATTTCACGGAGCCTCCGAATCAAGCCTCCATTAGCCTCACTACATGAAAACTGAACAAAGAATTCTGAAAATCCGCTCTGAGTTACCCATGTATATACTGAACCTATATAATCAGATCCTCTGCAGATGTGTCCTATAATGTTCAATTAATGATATCTACTTCCGGGTTTACCGCGATAGTTTTTTTGTGTGCATTAAAAAAATTTTGTCATGAAAACGTTAACAAATAGTTCTGAAAACCTCTGTGCATGTGTATTAATAATGTATATGTATAATGTGTTCTCCGATTAACATTTAAATGTGTTGATTGTTCTGGAAACGTAGGCATAGACCAATCAGAAAGGAAGGGGGAGGGAGCTTGGGTCGTTTTCTTCAAATCGTGTACCTGTCTTTTTTTCTGACAAACTCCAATCACTTTAAAAAGATGATGGTGGCCTGTAATTTTCATCATAGGTATACCTCAAATATGAGACAGAATGAGAATTCCAGAAACTCATGTTTTTAAAGAATGTATTTGCAAATTATGGTGCAAAGTATTTTGGTGTAAGTATTTGGTCAATAACAAAAGTTCATCAAAAGAGTTGCATACGCTTTGGCAATGACAGAGCTCAAACGTTTTCTTTTAGTCTTCACAAGGTTTTCACACACACTTGCTGGTATTTTGGCCCATTCCTCCATGCAGATCTCCTCTAGAGCAGTGAAGTTTTGGGACTGTCGTTGGGCAACACAAACTTTCAACTCCCTCCAAAGATTTTCTATTGGGTTGAGATCTGGAGACGGGCTAGGCCACTCCAGGACCTTGAAATGCTTCTTACAAAGCCACTCCTTTGTTGCCCAGGCGGTGTGTTCAGAATCATTGTCATGCTTAAAGAACCAGCCTCAATTCATCTTCAATGCCCTTGCTGATGGAAGGAAGATGGAGATTAAAAATCTCAAACCCAAAGCATGATGTTTCCGCCTGTGCTTCACAGTTGGGATAGTGTTCTTTGGTTGCAACTCTGCATTCATGTTTGGAGAAGTTTTATTTTGGTTTCATCTGACCATATAACATTCTCCCAATCTTCTTCTGGATCATCCTAGTGTTCTCTAGCAAACTTCAGACGGGCCTGGACATGTACTGGCTTAAAGCTGCACTAACTGACTTTATTTTCGTATTAATTACGAACATGCTATCCATGTCCATGTAGTGCATTGGGATATACGTCCTTTTGAAGAAAAAGTAGCGCAGATTTGTGCTGGTCTGACATTATATTTTCCATCGAGTTTTGATGAAACAAGGAAGAGATGTGTTTCGGGTCGCAGATTGTGACCAATCACAGCGCAACACTAGCCCCCACTTTCGTGAGAAATCTACAGGTCCGTTAGCATAGACAGCTGAGTTAGCACAACAAGCGGCGGAGCTAACCTGAAGCTTTGTGTGTCTTCGTCACCGGTTACTGCTTACACAGCGAAACAGCCATCCAAAAGAAAGTCTCGTTCCTCCGCGCTTCCCGGTTCTATCGTTCTATGGTCACGCCATCCACGTGCAAATCCATATCCATGTATTATCCATATTGGGAGAGGCTAGCTCCGTCTCAACAGTGGGTGTGTGTGGGGGGCGATAGCTTCGTGGGTGCGGGGAGGGGAGCAGAAAGAGAGCGGCCAGCAAGTCCGCGGCTTCAAAATCCCAAAGTCAGTTAGTGCAGCTTTAAGCAGCAGACACGTCTGACACTGCAGGAGTTGAGTCTCTGGCGGTGTAGTGTGTTACTGATGGTAGCCTTTATTACTTTGGTCCCAACTCTCTGCTAGTCATTCACTAGGTCCCCCCTTGTTTATTTTGACCCCATGGGGTGAGATCTTGCGTGGAGCCCCAGACCGAGGGAGATTATCAGTGGTCTTTTGTGTCTTCCATTTTCTTATAATTGCTCCCACAGTTGATTTTCTTTGCACAAAGCTGCTTACCTATTGCAGATTCAGTCTTCCCAGCCTGGTGCAGGTCTACAATTTTGTTTCTGGTGTCCTTTTGACAGCTCTTTGGTCTTGGTCATAGTGGAGTTTGGACTGTGACTGTTTGAGGTTGTGGACAGGTGTCTTTCATACAGGTAACAAGTGTAGGACAGATGAGCCTCTTACAGAAGGAGTTACAGGTCTATGAGAGCCAGAAATCTTGCTTGTTTGTATGTGACCAAATATTTATCTTCCACCATAATTTACAAATACATTTTTACAAAATCATGTAATTTTCTGGATTTTTTTCTCATTCTCTCATGATTGAGGTATACCTATGATGAAAATTATATAACCTTGCCTGCAAGCTGAATTCTCGCGGTATTTGTGAGTTCACAAACACTCGAGAATACATCTTGCCCCGCTCCCTCCAACCCTTTTCGAGTAGAACATCTAGGTGTTCAAGCCAATCACGTGCCAGTCTGGGGGTTTAGGGCGGGATATCCGGGTTTGACGAAAGCAAGAAGTGTCGGGCCGAAGCAAAACAAACATGGCTACGCAGGAGGACGGACGCGTAGCTGAGGCTATCAAGTCAGTTTTAGCAGAATCTCCAATTTCTTTTTTGAAAGATGAACAGCAAGAGGCGCTTTGTGCATTTCTGGACGGCAAATAATGTTACCGGGATTGGTTTAAGTCAAACCTTGGTAGGCGGGCACACAGCGTCACTTCGCCCAATCAGCTTCCCCGAAAGGATTCTCCTGCAGAAGTCCCAGATTGATATTGTGGAGAACGCATTAGAGTTCTACACAATCATCAATCTGGCTCTTGCCAGGTTAAAAATTATAGGCCTGCCTCATCTTTTTAAGTGGGAGAACTTGCACAATTGTTGGCTGACTAAATACTTTTTTGCCCTACTGTATATCGGAACTAACAAACTGCTCATAAAACGGATACTTTATTGATCCCCCGTAGGAGAAATTCAGGTGTCCAGCTGTAGAAAACACATCCATATAAACGCATAAGTACATACATTTTATACAGTGCCTTGCGAAAGTATTCGGCCCCTTGAACCTTTCAACATTTCGCCACATTTCAAGCTTCAAACATAGAGACATAAAAATTAATTTTTTGTCAAAAATCAGTGGGGACACAATTGTGAAGTGGAACGACATTTATTGGATAATTTAAACTTTTTTAATGAATAAAAAATTGAAAAGGGGAGCGTGCAATATTATTCGGCCCCCTTGCGCTAATACTTTGTAGCGCCACCTTTTGCTGCAATTACAGCTGCAAGTCGCTTGGGGTATGTCTCTATCGGTTTTTTTACATCGAGAGACTGGATGGAGAACGTTTGTGAACAGCAGTCTTCAGCTCTTTCCACAGATTCTCGATTGGATTCAGGTCTGGACTTTGACTTGGCCATTCTAACACCTGGATACGTCTATTTGTGAACCATTCCATTGTAGATTTGGCTTTATGTTTTGGATCATTGTCCTGTTGGAAGATAAATCTCCGTCCCAGTCTCAGGTCTTTTGCAGACTCCATCAGGTTTTCTTTCAGAATGGTCCTGTATTTGGCTCCATCCATCTTCCCATCAATTTTAGCCATCTTCCCTGTCCCTGCTGAAGAAAAGCAGGCCCAAACCATGATGCTGCCACCACCATGTTTGACAGTGGGCATGGTGTGTTCAGTGTGATGAGCTGTGTTGCTTTTACGCCAAACATATTGTTTTGCATTGTGGCCAAAAAGTTCGATTTTGGTTTCATCTGACCAGAGCACCTTCTTCCACATGCTTGGAAGGTAGCTTGTGGCAAACTTTAAACAAGACTTTTTATGGATATCTTTGAGAAATGGCTTTCTTCTTGCCACTCTTCCATAAAGGCCAGATTTGTGCAGTGCACGACTGATTGTTGTCCTATGGACAGACTCTCCCACCTCAGCTGTAGTTATCTCCAGTTCATCCAGAGTGATCATGGGCCTCTTAACTGCATCTCTGATCAGTCTTCTCCTTGTTTGAGATGAAAGTTTGGAGGGACGAACAGGTCTTGGTAGATTTGCAGTGGTCTGATACTCCTTCCATTTCAATATAATTGCTTGCACAGTGCTCCTTGAGATGTTTAAAGCTTGGGAAATCTTTTTGTATCCAAATCCGGCTTTAAACTTCTCAACAGTATCTCGGACCTGCCTGGTGTGTTCCTTTGTCTTCATGGTTCTCTCTGCGCTTTAAACAGAACCCTGAGACTATCAAAGAGCAGGTGCATTTATATGGAGACTTGATTACACACAGGTGCATTCTATTTATCATCAGTCATTTAGGACAACATTGGATCATTCAAAGATCCTCACTGAACTTCTGGAGTGAGTTTGCTGCACTGAAAGTAAAGGGGCCGAATAATATCGCACACCCCACTTTTCAGTTTTTATTTGTTAAAAAAGATTAAATTATCCCTTAAATTTCGTTCCACTTCACAATTGTGTCCCACTTGTTGTTGATTCATGACAAAAAAATAAAATTTTATATCTTTATGTTTGAAGCCTGAAATGTGGCGAAATGTTGAAAGGTTCAAGGGGGCCGAATACTTTCGCTAAATATTTCTAACTAACTACCTAACAATAGTGCATAAAGTCTAAAGTATTTTTAATTTTTTTTATTTTTTAGCAAGATTTAGGAAAGAAAGATTGAAAATTGGATTGTCTGATGGTGGCCCTCATGTCTGCACCATGTCAAACCTGAAGAATCCTCCCCCTCCAGAGTTTGTGAACCCAAAGAAACCTGGGCGGGTGACAAACCAGCTACAGTATTTGGACAGAGTTGTAATGAAGGCATTATGGAGCCATCAGTTTTCATGGCCCTTTCGGAAGCCAGTCGACGCTGTGGCACTACAAATACCAGTGAGTACTGCACTCATTACTCACCAATAATACTCACTAGACCAGGAACAGTAAGTATCCTTTGTGTTCATTTTCTAGACCAGTTCTTTTATATACAATTGAAATGTTTCTTTCCAGTTCTGTAGACATGAAATCGTGATTATACCAACTTTCTTATTAAATGTTCCGTTTAACATGGCTGCTGTGTTTTATTTTGTAGGACTATTATAAAATCATCACAAATCCAATGGACTTGGGAACCATCAAGAAACGTCTTCAGAATAAGTATTATTGGAAAGCACTGGAATGTTTACAAGACTTTAACAACATGTTTTCGAATTGCTACATGTACAATCGGGTAAGAGCTTAACGTATTAAATGTATCGTATTTTTGTTCAAGTGAAAATGCTAATATGCAGTGACATTATTTAATTCCTTACTTTTTTTGCAGCCAGGAGATGATATTGTTTTTATGGCTCAAACTCTGGAAAAGCTCTTTTTGCAAAAACTATCCGACATGCCTAAAGACGAGAGTGATGTTAATGAACATATTGGAAATGGTGCTATTAAACAGAAGAACTCCAGTAAGGGTAGCAGATTGAATATTTATATCCATTAGTTTGATAATGAAAGTGATATCTCCACTGTGCATTGTTTAGACTGCAGGGGTGATGCTAAGCACAAAGTATCAATGTCAGAGTTTGCACTGCAACAGGCGATAACGACTATTCCTCCTGAGGGATCTCAGAATCATACTCCTTACAAGATCCCTAAAACCCCGGAGGCTACCGTGAGATTGTTTTTGTGTTCTTGGGTCAGTGATTTTTCAAGCGTCTAAAACGCTAATTATTAATTTTCTAAACATTAATGTCACACATTTTTTTTATCTGGAAATTAACGTTTGTGAAATAACATTTTACCATATATTACCGGTAAGTGTTTAGGGTGACTTATAAAGAAAACGTACCCTGACACAAAAAGATGCATGTCTTATCAATGACCCATGTACTTATTATACAGATAAGAATCACATATTGCTATTAAATGCTTGTTGTGTTTCATTCAGGTGCCTAATAGTCTGAAAAGAAAAGCGGAGGCAGCAGAGCCATCAGCTCTACCCAAGGCTGATGGATTCTTTTCAGGCAAACCATCCACAGCTTGTCCGTTGAGGAAAGGCAGTGGCAGACCCATCAAACCTCCCAAAAAAGACTTGCCATCCTCTGATGTCAAAAAGGGTCGATTATCTGACCAGCTTCGTTGCTGTAATGACATCTTGAAGGAGCTCCTCTCAAAAAGGCACTATGCCTATGCCTGGCCTTTCTACACCCCTGTGGATGCTATGGTTTTGGGCCTTCATGACTATCATGAAGTCATTAAGCAACCCATGGATCTGGGAACTGTACGGGTAGGTTGGAGAAACTGCATGTTATTTTAAAGTTACTATATTCTTGTTTTAATTAAGGCACAGACTTATTTTGCATCAGAAAAGAATGGATGAACGACACTATGGTAATGCCAAAGAGTTTGCTGCAGACATAAGACTTATGTTTTCTAACTGCTACAAATACAACCAGCCATCAGATGAGGTGGTATCCATGGCCAGAAAGCTCCAGGTCTGTAATGCACCTATATAAAATACTATATCCATGTGATCAAACCATGTGATTGTAAACCATTGTGATCAGGAGGTTTTTGAAGCACGATATGCTAAAATCCCAGTGGATTCTGAAAAAATAGTGGTTCCTATTCCAAAGAATTTGGAGAAGGAAAAGGCGAACAAAGTTGTAAGTCACCCGAGCTCAGAGAGTTCAGACAGCGGGACTTCTTCAGAGACTGAGAAATCCACTGAGGATGTTGCTGCACAGCTTGCAAACTTGGAGGCGTGGGTGGGTGTCCTGTGCTTCACATGTCATTTTACTTCATGCTCTGTTTTTTTAACCATCTGGCCTGGGTTCTAGTTAAAAGACATGAGTGAACATTTGAGAAGAATGAAGTCGAAAAAGGAAAAGTTAAAAAAAGACAAAAAATCAAAGATGATTTCCAAATTGAAACACAAATCATCAAAGTACAAGTCTTTGTTGGAACAAATGAAAAACAAGAAGTCTTTGTATGTATTACTTATTCTATAATGTTAAGAATTTTGAATTGAATTGTGTGTCTACTGCAGAAAATACTTGAAATATGAGGATGAATTATCAAGGCAAATGTCTTACCAAGAAAAGAAGGAGCTCAAGCTTGATATTAGCCGGTTGCCTGGGGGTCGACTGGCAAAGCTTGTGAAGATTATACACAGTAGAGAGGCCTGTCTCCGAGAATCCACTCTTGAGGAGATCGAGGTTGACTTTGATGTTCTCAAGAACTCGACCCTGAGAGAGCTACGGAAGTATGTCTCTTCATGTCTGAAGAAAGAAAATCTTAGTAAGTAAACAGCATTCTGTCTCAAGTTGTTTAATAATGTACAACCATGCACTACTCTCAACAACTCTGGGATCTTTCTCATTGAATTTCTGGATGAACTTAAAGAAGCTATACTCGATTTTTTTTCTAAGTAGTTCATAAAAATGCTTTTTACTACATACAAGTTGTATCATAATACATACTTTAATCGAAAACTTGAGGTCATTGATTCAGCTGTGTATGAAATTTATGCCGTAAAAAGTGCTGAGTAGAGTCTGAGCGGGCCGCTCGTTCTCCTCCGCTCACAGAACGAGCAGCGAACAGCCTGCGTCCTCTACAGCGCTGCTAAACACTAGGGCTTCGACTTCAAAATTCGAATATAATTCTAAAATAAAATATATATATATATATATATATATTCGAACAAATATTAGACAGCCCTTACAATTCGAAATGTATTTAATGACTGCAAATAAAATAGTTAGCTCCCAAAGGTTTCACCGAGACGTGCTAGGCAGGTAACAGCTAAGCTAGCTAGCTGTTTCATGGTAACTTCCGGGTTTTTCGCGATCGCTTTTTGTCACTTTAAAACAGTATTTTTGTCATGAAAACGTTGACCGCAAATTCTGAAATCGCCCGTGCAAGTGTCATCTCAAGTGTCATTGTCTGATTAACGTTTAATGGTGTTGATTGATAGATATGTAGCTAGTTGTTTATTGAGCGTGGCTAGCTCCGCTAGCTCCGCTAGCTTCTCTACACAGACAAGTGTGCAGAGAAACTGCACAGTGTAGTGACAGGCGCTGATAGCTTGTAATTGCGGAGTAATGGCAGTATTTTACACACCTGAATTACAAACAGAGATAGCATTGGGGCTTCGGTCATTATTGGTTTGAGAGTTCTGTTATCAAGAAAAAATGATCGGAAGAATTGCATTCAAGTCAATGGAGTGCTGCTGCTGTGAGGAGCTGTATAATAAATTATAATTCAATATTAGAATATATTCTAATGTTTAAATTAATACATTCGGACGCGAAACAAGCGGTATTCTTTTACTTATAAATTGTGTTAGCAGTGCATTGCTTTTGTACCATTTCATCAGTGATTGTTGCACAGCTTACAAGAAGTTGCGCTACTGCTAATGTTAGCATACGTATCAGATCGCAAATAAAACTAGGTGGTTCCGTGTTATGAGAGCGTAGGGGAAATGAGAAGCCTGTGAGCGAGTTGGGGGGCGGTGCTAAACATTCAAACATTGCAGAAACGGGTATAGCGCCAATTTGACTCCCAACAATTCATGAGGCTTCAAACCAGAAGGTCTCTGGCAGAAGTGAACACTGAGCCATGAACAGGATCCAACAGAGACCAGCGAAGTGGGAGTGTATCGTTAGGTCTTCCCTGGGGTAGAATTCAGGGGCTCATCCAAACTGATGTCCACTTCATTGTAAACATGAGAGCATGATCAATGCCTCTCAACTCCAGGCACATGTGAGGGAGGTGTGAGTCTCGTCAGACCATTCAAACAGTTTAGATTAGTATGGTCGGATTACCTGCTTGGGTACATCTATGTTTTTAATTGGCTTGGCACTGGACAAGGGACAACTGGACCTCACTGCTACTTTCTGAAATTCATGCCGAGCTCAACTGATAGCCTCCACTGTTGTCCCAAGGGTTGCTTTTGTGTGATATTGCTGGCACAGGCCCTGCCTTTTGTGAATGATGCATGTCAATACTACCTGACCTATATAATTAATCCAGTAATTGTGCCCCTCCATGAACAACACAGGCTTTATGGATAATGGTCCTGCTCATTAAGGACTTATCTTTGGGTTAACTTCAAACTGAGTAGCCTGCACTTTCTATGGATCTGATTCTTCTCAATAGAACCAACAAGGATGCCATGTTGAGTCAAAGTGCCCTCTACCCCAGAACCTCAGTGACTTGTGGGCTCTTTGAAAAAAGTGATCATGAAAGAAGTACATTTAGAGAGCCAAATATCCCTGTGTAATTTGCTGTGTGTGTAATTTGGTGAGTAATGTATATATACTGTTAATGGTATAAATTGTGTTTTGACAGAAAAAAAGCAATACAGACCTCCAGAACAGAGTCAGACAGGCATTTCTAAAGATGTCTGGAAATCCAAAGTTTCTCCCAAAGATCAGGCTGTTTTACACAAAAAGCCTTTCGGTAAGGATATTCCACGTAATTAGGGCTGTGGGGAAAGGCTAAACAAAAGTCTTTTTGATGCAATTTAACACCAAATTACTTTAATCCTAAAATGAATTCAAAGTACATTTGTATCACAAACTAATACATACAATCCCTCTCGTTGACTGAAAAGCTGTAAAAAAAAAAAAAAAAAGATTGACAAAATTTAATTAAAATAACTCTAATTGCTGACTTGAGAGTTTGATGTGGACTCAATATCATAGTAAATACCAAGTTTCAGCTGATTTGATCCATGTCTCTCTTTCTGCCATTTTGTCATTGAAATGGTTCAAATTTAAACACAATAGTTCTTCCTAAAGGCATATTATTGTCGACTAAGAATAAACTAAAGCTGACCCACCCATTTATAATAAACCTTGATTTCAACATTTTGACACTTTTGAAACATTTTATTAATTTGATTAATTTCCCATCCCTACTACATGTAGGGATTACACGTAATGGCAGAAACGTATAGTCCTTTTTGTTTCTCCCTTGACATGAGGCCTTTATGTGTCTTTATCAGCCGCCAAATCATTGCCCTTGCAGCTTCTTCCTGCACCGATCCTCAGCGCGAGCAGCAGCAGTGAGTCTGACTCTGAGAGCTCAGACTCTGGATCAGGTCAGACCCTTGCACAGTTTCAAATTACATTCCTGTTTTTGATCATGAGACACAAGGATGTTCTTATTTTAAAGATTAGATTAAATAAAACACACGTACAATTGAGTGTTTTCAGTGATATGGTGTTTAACCCATTCCATTTTAGTATGTGTTAAACACCAGGTAGTTACAACCTTTTTGTATGCCTTTTTAGTGTCACCAACAAAGAAAAGGAGCAAGAAAAGATCAATACAGGTAGGGGTCAATATTTTCATTGTGGCCTGAGGAAAGAACTTGCCATTCAAATAAGTTTTGTTTCCTCTAGTCAAATGGCCACTGTGCACACATTGGCAAACAAACCTCTGGACCTGAAGACCTGAGCACCAGACCGATCAGGCCATACCAGATACCCTGTGTGCAATCCTCTGTAGCAGAGAGTAAACGACCACTGACCGACTGCAACAGTAATGAGCTGCCCATGGCTCCCCCAGGTAACATTACAGTCACACCTGTAATAAGTTCAATAGAATGCTCTTTTTTGCTCTTCTTATATTCCCCATGGTGCGCTTGGCGCTCGCTGTGTCAGCGCTCTGCCCTACATTACTGTCCGTGCATAGTTTAATACATATTTCATTTCTTCTAATGCCTGACGCAGTCGCTTGGCTTAGATCAATGAATATAGCTTCCTGTTTGACAGATTTATCTGCACTTTTATCACCAATGGTTTCTCCGGGGATCATCCTGGACACCAGATTTGAGGTATTGTTTGATATTTTATGTTTCTGAGTCCACGATGTGATAGACTGTATTTGCAGTGCGAGTCATGTAACAATAAAAGACAAAGGAAAATCTAGAATTAGTATTAGATTTGTCCTGAGGAATTCAGGACATCCATTTTGAATAAACAAAAGTCCCTGTTCACTGCCACATTCTGTATCTTGTGTACTGTGAAACCAAGCATCATCGCTGCTTGTGAAACAAAACTCACAGAGACCTTTTGTAAATTTTGTTTGTTGATGTATGCAAATATTAATTGCATAAATACAAAAATGTTGTTTCAGCCACAGCCTGTGCTGTCCCCTCTGAGTGACAGTCCAGTGCAGATGAAGGATGAGAGCATATCCAGTAAGTCTCTGGAGACTACACAAACTGTCACATTTCCCAGTTGGTCAAGCAAACTCAACATTCTACACTGAATTAGATTTCAGACATTCTGATGATTTCACTTTGACCAATACAAGTAAAACTTTGGATGAAGACAAATGCCAACTCCCTAAAAAGGTTTGAATCACAAATGTATATTTGCAATACAGATCTAACATGGTTCATGTTTCCTTTAGGACATTGTTTTGAGAAACGCAGAGTCTTGGGCAAAAGTAGTGAAGGCGTCTGTCACACCAGTCCCGATCAAGTCTTCGATGGAGAGTTTTCAGCAGTTTAGGAAGGCAGCGATGGAGAAAGAGGAACGAGAAAAGGAGTCAAAGAAAAAACATATGGGCAAAGAAATCAACCAAAACAGGTAAATTTTTCAGGCATGCATAATACTATGGATGAAAAGAAATGCAGCACTAACCCTTTTGCATTAGTTTCTCATGGCCAATTAAAAGTGAAAGGCGTCAGTCTCCCGAAAAACCTTACTCTCCGCAAGGATTTCGATTAGACCCACTCGCTGAAATCCTAAAGGAAGCTGTGATTCAGAAGCCCCTGTCTCCTCTGGAACTGCAGGATGTTCCATCGCCCTCTCCGGTGGATAAGGACCGAGAAACCGCCCGCCGCAGGGAACAGGAGCGCCGCAGGAGAGAAGCGGTGAGTGGGTCTGCTTATCTTTACACTGAAAGTGAATTGCATCCTTCTTCAGAGATGCACCAATACAGCTTTTCATATCCGATATTTCAATACTTTTGGTTTCAATATCTGTTGATACCAGTGAATGAACTGTAAATACTGTGAGTGTCAAAAAAGTGCTATATAAGTATGTTTTATTATTACTTTTTGTTCCACAATATGTATTTATTACTTTAAGTAATGTTGTTACTTTAAGTCTGAGGTAGAATGTAATCTATTTTATTTGTATAGCACAGTTTATACACAAGGCAACTCAAAATGCTTAATAGAACAAGATAGAAACAATCAAACAAGGCACAAAAATCATAATCACATTCCAAAAAAAAGAATACAGATAATATCCCTCAATTGTGTAAACAGAAAAATCTGAAAATAAATTACAATGGGCAGCTCCATTTCTATTAATATAGTTTTTAAGATTTGTGTTGGAATGCTTATACCATTTTACCTCAACAAACTTTTCTTTTCTACAGATGTGTGGTATTGACATGTCGATGCAGAGGGACATCATGACTAGCTTTGAGCTCAACTTGGACTAAACATAAACATGGAGGTTGTTACTTATGAACACATCTGAATTGTTGCTAAAAATAGCATCGCTATTGAAAGTGAAAGATCATATATGTATGATGATGTGTTGCCTTTCAATATATTTAATCTAGTTACACCCACAAATTAGACTCATTTGGTGTATCAATGTTGCACTTCCGTGTTTGGTGTTCCAAAGAGGTTTTGTAAAAGCACTTCCATTCCGAACTGTATTTAAAATATGCAGACTAAACACTTCTACCATGTCAGTTATTTTTTTCCCGTTGTAATAAGAGGCCATATAGCTTTATACTTTTTGCATTTATTTTGCACATTAAAACGATTTCTCATTGACACTGGTTGAAACGACATAATAAGCACTTTATTTTGTCAAACTCTTACTAGCTGCACTTTGAGACCGTTCTGCCTAAAGTTCCAAGTCAACATATTTCTGTATGTTATAGTTTGTAATATGTTCTAGTAGTTTTTTACTTGATGAATAAATTTTCACTCCGTCACGGTATATGTGAATTTATTTTTGTTAATGAAAAGAAAGCCTAGATTCAGCCATGACTCATTCACCTTAATCTATTTTGACTCCTTAATGTTTCAGTAGCTATTGTCCTATAGCTACTGACATTAAGGGGTCAAAATGATCCATGAAGCCGCACCAATCAAAGAACTAGAAAAAAAAAGTAGGGGCTTATAGTCTGGAAAATATAGTATATAATAAACGTCTGTTCCCAGACAGAAATTATATGCTTTATTTCTAATTCTGAAATTGTTTAATTTAAATACGACTATCACAACATAACATGTATATTCACATTTGGTTATCAAGCTAGTATCCAATTGTAAGGCAAAATTATCATCACAAGACATCTGGCTGCAATTTATTTGGTGAAATGATTTGGTCTCTGCCTAAATCTGAGCATCTGGTCCAAGTTTGAATCAGCTGGAGATGCAGAGCTGTCCTACATTACCACTAGGAATAAAGGAGGGTATGGCATCCCCCTGGGCCCCCCTCAATGAATGACCTGCGCTGTCATGGCATCATTGGGTCATGGACATGCTTTATATTTACAACTATTTGAGCAATTTTACTTATGAGACTTGGGACTAGGTTTAATTGCTTTGATTTAGCTTAAAGCTTTATAATTAGTCATACTGTATTCACAAATCTAATTTAACTTCTCGTTGTAAAGACCATTAGTCTACTTTCACATTCTCCGTGTTGCCATAACAGCGTGCAGAAGCCATCCCTCGTGGTGGTGTGGTGAGTTCTCTCCCTCTTCCCCTCCCAGCGCCTCTTTGCTATGTTTTCCCCAAACGGTTATTCGTGCATTTTTATCAATTTTTTTTGCAATCACAACCGAGCCTCTTCGCACTTGCACTCGCTGTCAACAACCCGAAACAGTCCCCAGGCTATACACCACACGCTGTCACACGCACGCGTAAAGATCGGGACGTGATGCGCTCCTCTCCGCCGCCACAGTCCCATTCAGCCTCCTCTTCATCACGCACTCGGTCTGCTGCTGCTGCTGCTGCTGTTGTTACCGTGGGATCCTCCCTTCAGTCGCCTGTGCGTATTACTCGCTGGTGGGCACGAATCATTATTGGAGCCACAGGAGCGCTTGGCACGTACCGGATCGATAGCTGCTCCCGTCTTGCCCCAGACCGGATTACTGCGGCAATGTGAAAGATACAACAACAAAAAATGGCTAGAGTCCTCCACAACTTGATCATATTTTTCATACGACTCGCGTTGCAGATCAAAGTTGTGAGCTACTGGTCCCTGATTTACGCCTATTGCGGAGTGTGCACCACCGTCGCGCTTCTTAAACTTTGGTGGAGCATTGTTCTACGCCCGACCACAGTCTTCCAGTGGGCAGTGCGCGAAACTCCCCCGGCTTGTCTGAATGACACGTCCTTGGGCACGCACTGTTATGTTCGCATCAAGGTAAGTCCCCACCATCACCACCAGCATCAGCAGCATGTACTTAAACACCAGAGCGAGCGTGTCTGTCTGTGTTTCTGGTTAAGGTGAGTCTGCCCATTGAGAAGCTGCAGAGAGCATCACAACACCTCCGCATCTTTGAACCATTCTGGGGTGACGTCGTGGTTAAAATGATAGGCCTTGTTATTGGAGAGGTTGAAGTCGCATGCTGTGTTGGTGTGTTTGTTGTCGACCTGTCAGGTGGTGCCGAAAGGATAGCGCTGCTGCAGACAAGGGAGGACTGAAGCGTGCCTTATGTGGCAGCCAAGTTCATTCTAGGCACGATCTCTTTGAAATGCATGTAACTACTTCAGAGATTGGCAATTAAAGATACCCCCAATTGGATTCGCGAAGCCACTTAGTGGCTGGTACTATATGCAAGAATGATGTACGGTCTTGTTTAGCTGTAAACTGTGGAAATGCTGCCCCATGCAATATGCAAGTAAACATTTTGACTTAACAAATAAATCGAATGGAAGTCGATTAAAAACTTGGTAGCTCCCAGAGTATAACACTGGCACAGGCTGGATATTTACCAAGCTTTATTTTAAAAACGCAAGCAATGTTACAGACATGTATCATTATTTTATTTTTTTTATTATATGCATGAGAAATGCTTATTCTATAATCTGTTAAAGACTTTTTTCCACTCCATGTTTTCAAACCTTGCCATTTTCTCTGTTCCTTGAGTAAGTTAAATGTTGTGTATTTACATCCGTACAGTAAATTCAATTTATTTTTGTTCAGCCCTAAATGACAACAGCAGTCGTTTCAGAGGAGTTTTCAATTCACCAGCAACAAATCAGATAATCAAACAGTTTGAACGCAGAAAATGCAATAATAACGAACATGCAGAAGCCTTTGGTTTATAGGGAGCGATATGAATAAGCTAAGGGTATGTTATGTTCACACATGTTGGTAAATGTTGGTCCCGGATCATCATTGTCTCTTAGACCCTCCTGTATCGGCAAGGACGTCTCCAAACGATGTGGGGAAAAAGTGAGAAATGTTGGTAATGTATTGTTAGAGGGATCATTTATAAGCTCAAAAAGGAGATATGTAAAACTGAGTGTGGCCCAAGAAAAAACAAACGATTGATTAGAATAAGGTCATGTAAAGTAACAGTGCCATTAGTCTTAAAAATCACTATTGTCACAGACTCATTCTTTGTGCATCACTTGGAAAATGTTACTAAATATACTCACAAGAAGTGGCACAGTTGAGATATAAATAGCTTCATATTATTTACTCATCATCATCTGCATATTCACATGCCAGTCATTCTGGCCATGCTAATCTTTTATGGATTAGCTTTGTTGTGGTAATCCTTTATTGGCACAAGAGCAGTGGGACTGTCCACTTAGCCTCACTATATTAAACTGATTTAAGCCTTTTTTCCACATGAGAATATCCTCTATAAAGTTGTCATTTCCAGTTGGTTAGTGGCCTCTGTGTAATAACTGGTGTGCAAGTGGGCTTCAAGTAAGATTTTAGTTGTTTGAATGTCAATAAACAGTGTGAACATATTAGTCGCTTTTAGATATTTGATGTCTTACAGGAGTCAGGACTTCGGTTCCACTATGTCGCAGCTGGAGAGAGAGGAAAGCCGCTCATGCTGTTCCTCCATGGCTTCCCCGAGTTCTGGTAGGTCAAAAGCTCATTTGGAATTTCTGATTTAAGATGTTGGACTGAAAAAGTAGGTGGCCTTGTGTTTTAAGGGAGGTAGCAACAATCAGAATTAGTTCCAGTGCCATTGTATGTAACAGGAGGTCACAAACAAGGAATTTGTTTTGGCTCTTTCTTTTAAACAAGTCATAAGATAGTAAAAAAGTATGCTCAATTACAAACAAAATGGTAAGGTTACATATAAGCAGGGATCATATCAATTTATACTGGTAGATAAAAGGCTATGTCAAGTTAGTTTTCATTTAGAGCTAAGGCACTTATATTTCCCAAAGGAGCCGTAAAATCTCAATTGCACTAAACCTGGCCCCGTGTTCTTTATAGGCACTCTCCAGTGTTGGGGAAAATACTTTGATTGGAACATGACTCACATGTACTGCTATGTGTTCAGAGTAATGCATTCTGTCATTCATATTTTTATTTTATATCCAGCCAAGTGCTTGATCAAATACAATCTATTCTTTTTGATAGAAACTGCATTCTTATGTGTATCATAAAAAATAAATTAAAAAAATGACTACAAATTGAACAATAATGAGATTCCTGAAATCTTGTCTGGTGCATGTATATTTCCCAACACTGGTAGTAGGACAGCTCCCACAAAATAAGACTTGCAATGTGTTTTTAATATGTTTTTTATATATATATATATATATATATATGACAAGATATATTATCGTAATGATGAATGTTTTCATAAATTCCATATACGTGATCAGCTGTTGGTGGGAGAAACAGCCTTAGGCGTCAGGGGATTTTCCCTGGTATGTTGGCCCCATTACTCTACTCCAACATTCAGTCGGGTCAATGAACTCTCAAACCAAGCTAAGGGTAGTTTATGTTTACTTTTTTATTATACAGGAAGCATGAAGGTTCCAGAATGATTTAATTGTTAGATAAATCAACATACTATAATGTTGAGTTTTTACATGACTGTCTTGGTGGGTTCACTTTTTTCCATAAATTACTATTCCAAATATCTCTGAAGCTAAAGGAATTCAACATGTTTTGTTATTGGCAGTAAATTTGACTCAAGCTGGGGTGAAAATTAATTTTGATTTGACTAAAATAGCTTCTCGGACTACTTGGCAAAGAGTAAATAGTAAGTCTATTATTTTGTTTCTGATTGGCACTTCTTTTGCAATTAAACGATTAAATATAGTTTTGCCTGAACCATTTCTCAGGATGCCTTTCAAATTTCAATCTACATTGGACACAAACAAGTGAAGCAATGACTTGATTATTGGACCTTAATTTCTACCTTACAATTAAGGTAGAAAAATCCGGATTTGGAGCTGTAGTCCTTTTTTTGTAATTTAGTAATGTACAGGA